TGTCCATCAACAGTCAACAGTCAATAAGATATGTCTGCTCTGCTCCTACTGACAGGAAATCAGTTCCATAAATACATGTTCCCTTTCAGGAAATGGACAAAGAAAAATTGATCACTGTATTCTAGAGTTTCTCCATGCTCCTGTGTGTAATATGTGTTTAATATACATTAATAAAATCTGCAAAAACTCATGTGAAGATTGATCTGTGAGCCTCAAGTCAGGAACTCCAGCAATCCCTAAAATGTTAAATGGCACTGGTGTGATATCATTCCATATCATAAAGCTTTAAAGAAACGAACAGCTTTTATTACTCCAGACTTTTTTTTTTCTGCTGCTGCTATTGGCTGCAGAACCTAGAAAGAAAAGATGTCTTCCAAAGAATCAAAGTATTCTTGAATAATATCTGTATTTGGAAAAGACAATAAAAAGCTTTGCTGGAGAGTATTATGACTGATAATCCATAGATGTGGAATATAAACAAATGTCTGTTTACTCTTTTTTATATTGCCAGTTGATTGATGCCAAACAAGTGGTTGAAACAACGGCCAATTCTTGAAAAGCTTTTATATTTGCTTTTCCAAACACTGAGATATTTTTTCTCTCCGTTTTGCTGAGAAAAGTGATGTGCTTTTACTTTTCACTGAAGGAACAACAATACTTTTTATTTTATGTAGACTGAGAAAGCAGAATGAAGGTAACACTGGGTGCACTGAATGCCTTTTATTCTTTCTGGGACCGTCTCTATATGTAGTCAAGTAAAAAAAAGAAAACACAAAAGCAATGAAAGTTGCTGTCAAAATCAAGAAAAAGAGTTCTTTCCTTTTGTTCGTTTGCATTTATTTCATGGTTTGCTGTGTTGTAAACTCTGCTCTGATCAGCTCTATTATTCAGCAGCATGCAGGGTTTTAGAAATACAGAGGGCCAAAAAATGAGCTTGGTAGGGGGGTTCAAGGGCCTGCTGCCTGAAACTGTCGATTTCCCTGATCTACATATTCACATTTTAAGACATTTGGATATCAATAGCTTGTTATTATAAAAATGTGAATCAAACATTACACATCAACAGTATGTGTTTTATATAATAATATATGTATACAAAAATACTATGTTATAACACTATAATCACGCTTAGGTTTGTGTTGTTAAACCGAGCCTATAGCTTCCACTGCAATTACCAAATTACTGTGGTAATTAGGACTACATTGTTTGAATGTGATCAGGTCAGTCAGTTTTTGTTTGTGTTGAACAGCAAAGGGACATAATGCTAATGCTATAGCTATCCTGGGCACTGCAAAATTGCAACTTTCAAAAACAAGAAAAAAATGTACAATAGAGGAAATATTTCTTAGTTTGCTTCAAAAGTCTGTCTGACTCATTTGTAAAAATGTAACTGTTCAATATGCACTTGGTGGATACACATATGATATTTTATTAAAAGGCTGAGCCTAAAGTTACAGCTCACCAGCTGGTGATCCATATAGAAGATTATTACAGTGGAATAAGGAAAGTGTAACTTCTCTAATGTCGTTTCTGTTATAGATCAAATTTGCTCCCCATGTGAATGCTCAGCTTATGAAAGTAAAACATACTTAGACAAGCAACAGTGGTCAGATTTATGATTTAATGTTCATCGCATTTACAGTTTGAAAAATGTTACATGATTTGGGTGACAGAGTTGCAAATGTTAGCTTAAACTCAAATATTTCCAGGACTGGCCCTCATGCAAATGACCAGGATATCAAAACTCCACTCCTGAACGTATCTTGTAACCACACAAAGTAATCTAGGCTAATGTTAGCTGATGATGTGCTCCTCTGCCTTTTTGATCATTACACTGCATTTGCATTTCGTTAGTTTCAATGCTCACAATTGCAGCTAATGTTCAGTGTAGCATAGAGAGCAGACAAGCACGCTATTTAATGAATGAATGAATAAAAACAAAGACACCAAACGCTTTAGATATTGAGTATCACTCTAACTAGAGCCCGATGCACACTGCTTCAGCATGTGGAAAAATCCAAAGCTTGTCAGGCCTGCTGTGCCTGGTAACAGAGCTATTATTGGACATCGCTGTTAGAGAAGGGGTTTAACTTATGATCAATTGCTATCATATGATGATAACACAACAAGTGATATATATAAAGCTAAATCTTCTGAAATTCAGTATACACTGCATTTTATAAATAACTTACGTAAGCATGTACTTAAAATGCTATGAAAAAAATAAAAAGCTCAGTAACCTTGCTGTTTTTCCACAGATGAGATTAAGGCAAGCACAGTAATCACTTAAGAAGCCACAGGGTCACATCCATTCAGATGAGTTAAAAATGAATTTCACAGTTCTGTATATCACCACCACTAATGCACTGTGGAAGTGTATAGAATGAGTCCCTGTCAGTAATTCAGCTACATCTCCTGACATTGAATGGTGCTGTAGATGGTGTTGTGGGCTTGGTAAAGGCCACGAGTAAATAGATGTGGACCTTGAACATCATCCCTGGTTCTCATCTCTTTGGGACTTAACCTCTTCTGTCCCTCAAAGGTCACCTCAGCCTCTCCTCAGCTGGGTTTTCTCTGCCCACAAACCACAACACTCCCCACAAATAACATTTGATTTAATAGGAAACTGCTGCGAAATTGGAAACTATACTGAACTTTTCAACTGAACCCAGCACTATGCATTTCTGCAAATGTTCTATGTTCTCTATATTTTTTGGAAATACCCCACCCACAATTGTCCCTTTTCAAAGGAAAAGAAGATCAAAAGAAAATTTAAAAAAGGCTGCTTATTCTGGGTTTGCGGGGCTTTTCGTCTGGTGTTTTGTCAATGCTGTCCATTAACAGGAGTCCATGAGAGAGACTGTCTGTCATCACTGACAGCTCTCACCATGAGGCCTTGTGGGGATTTGGTCCAGAGTGCTGAGAGGGTCAGAACTGTATGCATCAAGTCTGTGATTATTTGACTAAAATAAACCTTTCACAGTTTCCTGCAGTGCTGATTCAATTTTAATAGAAAGGGCTGCTCAGAAACGCATCACAGCTGAGAGGAAAGGGTTATCTGTGAATGTACATGGAATGTCTGTGCTGAAATGCTGAGTTTTCTGGTCTGGTCATTTGTCATCACCACAATTAGTGAAGAAGAGAATTTAATTCAATACAGCTACAACCTGCTCTAGCATTTATGGTTTCCAGTGTTAGCTAATGACAGTAAACCTTGCATAGATATTGCTGTGTATGGACATTACTGAGTCAGTTTGCTTACTTTATCACTGCTCTCTACCTGTGCTACTGTTACACTTTGCTGGAGCTTATCTTGAAATTACCACTGTTGAGCAAAAGTTATATAGTTGTGCTTTAAAGTTGAAAATATAAGAGCTAAGTTAAGCCAAATAACTTTTTGTGCCTTCAAGTACTTGTCGTATGACTTACATATTAGTAATGCTCCTTCTCTTCTTTTTAGATGGCTTTCATTTCAGTTTTGCATTTTGGCCTTTGGCTCTTTTTTTATTTATGATACTTTGTATTGCATTTCTATGGTATTAAAAAGCTAAACGGTAGCACAATAAACTGAAACTGCAAACAGCATTTGGTCCCATCATAAATTTGGCTCATTTTATGGACATGATGTTTGTGAAAATGTCAATTTCTCCACTTTTTTATATTAATTTCCACAGTTTTAATGATTATTGCAGAGTCTCTATGAATCACTACTTTTCCCGCCTGCCATTTCATTGTAATTATCTCAGTGTAACACACAGTCTAGTTGCAGTGGCACTTCATGATATAATTGCAAACTGGTATTGAAGGAAGAAGAGGGGTTACTTATACATATTGCTTCTTCCAATTATGAGTTATTGAAAAGCAGGGTCTATACATGAAGGGGTTTTACATGCAAGTCGGAGATAAGAAGTCCTCATGCCACAACCAGCATCTCACACACTTATGAATAATAATGAATGATAGCACAAACATATGGTCAACATTGAAACATTACAACTGTGCCTCCCCATGGCACGAGTGAGAACCACCCGGACTAGAAGGCAGAGCTTTCCATTAATAAATGTTGCTGGTGTAAAAGAAAAAAAGAAGAGAAAAAGAAAATGATGATTGAAATTGATTTTTAGGTTTTTAGTTTATTAGGAATTAATGATACAAATGTCTGGGGGAATTAAAAGCTCGTTGGATGAAGCCAAGTGTGGCCATCCATTCAGAGGAGTCAGCCAGGTGTGAGGGCTGTTAAGACGTTCACAGAGGCGTGCTGATTTTGTCAGCCAAGTCTGATGAGTCTAACACCTGCGGCTCGTGGAATTTTTTTTCCAAATTGCATTATCCTTTGCCAAAACGTTGCAGAGACAATGGGGAGACATGCACAGAGATACAGAAAGAGGAAGACAGTGTAAAAGACCATGAGCAGTAATTTTAATCCTGCAAGTCTCGTTCAAATGAAGAACTCCGCATTACACATGCATGTGCCGTGCACTTGAACTAGTTTCCACTGCATGCATGTTAGTGTTTCAGTAATGACCTGCTTATAAGCGTGCGTCATTAAAAATAGCTTCTTAGCACTGTTTAATCCAGAGCTTCATTCAGACAATCCTCATGTGATTTCTCACCTGTTCTTTGCATTGCAAAAGAAATGCATAATGAATATTATAATAGGGAATATTAATGTGAAAAATCCTCATGGAGGATAATCAGACCACCTCAGCAAGTGAGCAATTTTTGCCTACATGGTCTGAGGACCATAGTGGAGTTTTATCTGACCTGTGTTAATGGGAAGCTTCCACACACTATTTTCTTGGGAAAAATGGATGACTAAATGGAAATGTCTCTGAATGTGAGGATCATCTTATTTTAATGTAAGAATGGACAGAGGCACTGGATCTGAAATCATCATGCAGCCAAAAATATGTAAAGTGGTCAAATCTTAAATCATCATATTAAATTCAAATTAATCATGTTTTCTTTTGTTTTTGCAGGTCCCCTTTCTATGAATTAACATGGACAAAGTGGTCATCAGTCTCCTGCTTCTGGGAACCACAGTTACGATGGTCCATGCATGTCCAAAATACTGTGTCTGCCAGAACCTCTCAGAGTCTCTAGGGACTCTGTGCCCCTCAAAAGGCCTGCTCTTCGTTCCACCGGACATCGACCGGCGAACTGTGGAGCTCCGGCTGGGCGGCAACTTCATCCTCAAGATCTCCACTTTGGACTTTGCCAACATGTCAGGCCTGGTGGATCTAACCTTGTCCCGCAACACCATCAGCACCATCCAGCCTTTCTCTTTCATTGACCTGGAAACCCTGAGATCCCTGCACCTGGACAGTAACCGGTTGACCGAGCTGGGACCGGATGACCTTCGAGGGCTGATCAACCTGCAGCACCTGATCCTCAACAACAATCAGCTAAGTCGGATCTCCAAAGCAGCCTTTGATGACTTGTTACTGACACTGGAGGATTTGGATTTGTCATATAATAACTTGCGCAGTGTGCCTTGGGAAGCCATCCGCAAGATGGTCAACCTCCATCAGATGAGTCTGGATCATAATCTCATCTCCTTCATTTCTGAGGGGACTTTTACAGATCTGGATAAACTGGCCCGTTTGGACCTCACCTCCAACCGTCTGCAGAAGCTCCCTCCGGACCCCATCTTTGCGCGCTCCCAGAGCAGTGTTGTGATGAGCACTCCTTACGCACCTCCGCTTTCTCTAAGCTTTGGTGGAAACCCATTGCACTGCAACTGTGAGGTGCTTTGGCTTCGAAGGCTGGAACGTGAGGATGACATGGAAACCTGCGCTTCTCCCGCCAGTCTAAAGGGGCGCTATTTTTGGTCTGTTCGTGAGGAGGAGTTTGTTTGTGAGCCACCTTTGATCACACAACATACACACAAGTTGCTCGTTCTGGAAGGCCAAACGGCTAGCTTGCGCTGCAAAGCTGTTGGCGACCCAATGCCAACTGTGCATTGGGTTGCTCCTGACGACCGTTTGATCAGCAACTCCTCTCGAGCAACAGTATATGAAAATGGCACCCTGGACATAACAATCACCACATCCAAGGATTACGGCACCTTTACTTGCATAGCTGCTAATGCTGCTGGGGAATCTACAGCCACCATTGAGCTATCAATCATTCAACTCCCCCATTTGAGTAATGGTACAAATCGTACCACGCAGCCCAAGTCTGGGCTATCGGACATAACTAGCTCTACCAAGATCAGTAAAGGGGAGCCTAAACCTCCACCAGAGAAGGTGGTGTCTGTATCAGAAGTGACCGCCGCCTCTGCTCTGGTCAAGTGGACTGTTAGCAAATCAACTCCAAAAGTAAAAATGTTTCAGCTACAGTACAATTGTTCAGAGGATGAAGTCCTCATTTACAGGTAAGAAGGAGTGATATAATTCAATTACATCCAAGTAGGAGCTGAGACCTTTCTGGTCAAAGTGGTAAATTAAGCCTGAGGTAATCTATAATATATAACTTCACAACATTCACTGCTCAGCTTCTTGAGTCGATTGCTAATTGTTTGCTGAGTGAGTACTTGAGACAGTCATTTTCTTTGAAGTGTTACTCGGAGATCAACATTTATTTTTCTAATCCTTGATTTATTTTTTTTCTTCTTTCCTTAAATTGACAACTGGTGAGCATGCTGCTTTCACATTTTTAAGAAAACCCAAAGTGAAATCCTCACCCTGAACCATTAATTAGAAATCCAAGAAGAAAAAGGATTATAGACCCTCATTTTAATGTATCCTTCTTAAGCTGCTCAAGTCCATGAAGTGTAAGCTCGGAGACTGCAGCTGGAGATCTCCAGGCTCTGTGTAATCAATTTCCTATGTCAAATGAGACAGTGAGTTTGGAGACATTAAAAAGGACCAAATGTACTGGGCTTGTGTTGTAAGAGCAAACAAATAGATCGACCTTTCATGCATCCTATTTGCAATTCTTTATGATACATTTTATCTGACATCATATCACACATATCATTTTGGAATTCAGTATCCCCTTCTGGTTCCGGTTGCCCAATGCACCTAAACACATTAATGGATCCGTCAAGAGAATTACTTCCTCAGTTATGCTAAAGGGGATATTCAATGCATCAGAAAAGTTGCCCGTCGTGGATAGAAGTAACAGTAGTTTTATATTTGTGCCGTTGTGCAGCACCTCATCATGAATTCGCTGAAAGTTAATTTATTCAGTGCAACAGTCCTGCACAGTTTACCTGTACTGTATGTTTCCAGCAGGAGCCATTTACTAAAAGGTAATTGACAGAATATGGGAGGGCAAAATATCTGGTTATTAGCTGTGAAAAGGAGATTAGAACTGTACACTGTAATGACGAAAGATATTACTTTGTTCAAACACTGTGAATCCAACACACCATCTCTGCAAATTCAATAACAAGTTGTTTATCTGATTTCCTTGCCTGCACACTCTGTGTCAGTTTGTCATGCCAGAGAAAAGACAACAATAGGAATTTTTAATACCCTTTTTTTTTCTTTCCAGTGAAAGAAACATTGGATGACTCATCCATGTTTCTAGTAAATGCCTTATGAATTTTCTCTATTGCATACAAAATTGCAAACATAACACTAATGTGGACTTTGTAAACAGCATTTATTTTCTGTGTTCATTGATTTGCAGCATTTACGAAATTTCCAGGAAAAATTATTATTGTTAATTCACAGAATCATTACTAACACCAATCTTCGCTGTTTTAAATGCTACTTTGAGACATTTAAGTGATACATACTTTACACCCCTTTAATTTTGTTGTTTTCTCATTTGGTTCACTTTCCTGCACAACTGCTAACTATTATGTTAAAAAAGCTAACGCTGAAGTTGTCTTTGTCATGTGTATTTGATGCTTTAAAAGCATCTCTACTTCATACTCATGGAACATGGAGTGTAATGTATCTACAACAGGAAAATGACCTAAAGCAATAGATCTGAGTGCTTATAGATTAATGCCCGTGTAGTTCTTTTGCATGCCAAAAGACAAATTAGGAGCAGGGAGGAAAAGATAATGTGCATAGGGAGGCCAACTACTGTTTTTGAATTAATATTGATATGACTTCATTGCCTGCACATGCACACCTACTGTGCTCTAGTTGGCTGACACAGTTTCCCAGGGTACTGTCTGCACTCAAGCAATAGCATGATTAAAAATCAATCAGAGCCATGTGGGGGAGGAGAGCGATTGCATGAGTTCTCCTGAACACGTGAGGCAACACAGCTTCTTCCTGGTTATGGAAAAAGGCAATTAAGGATGAATAATGGACTGCAGCCGTGCTGGTGTCTGGGCTCTGTGGTGGAGGCGCTTTAGATGGATCAAAGCTTTGGATGCTTGTACTATCGGAGAACAGCAAGCCAACAATGGATGGATGACTGAGGAATCTATTCATAGATAACTACCAATAAGGCTATCAAGGGCCATTGAATACCCATATGGTATACATTTATTTTTCTCTATTGAACACTATTAATTATATAAAAGAAGCCATTGTTACTTTTGATTCAAGACATAGTATTCCTGGAACCATTGATGTTTAGGCTGGGCCAATGTTTTCTCAGTAGGTTTGGTCACATTTGCAGTCCTGCCTTTTACCACTAGCAGAGGCAGAGTCTCAACATTTCAACCAAGTATTCATGCATTACATTTAGCTTTCTATTTCAACTTATCCACTTCAACTGCAGAAGTTCAAATACCCCTGGTTGGGAAGCACTGATATACAGCATAGTGCAACTAAGACACGTGATTAAGGTGTGGATATGGTTTGCATTTGGTAATTCAAACTGGTGAAGTGGTTAAAGTTGGATCTATAGTTGATGAAAAGGCTTGATAGGACTGTAGATATAGCATAAATTTTTAGCTCAGCATCAAATTTTCACGCATTTACATCCCCACTGCAACAGTAGACGCTTTATCTTACATTCAAATTCATCCAATATGAGCATTATCCCTAGCGATATTGGGGTCCGCAAATGGCCCACTTTAGTTTGACATCTCAATGATGCTCCATTCCATCGTGAAATGGTCAGTATAGTTAACTGCAGTTAAGAGAGAGCATACAGCCACAGCAATGATCTAACTCCTTCAAAACACATCTTCTACCACTCAGCTTGTGTAATGTTAACAGTGTAATTGCAGAATGTTTGACAAGTCAGGCGCCACAAGAAACCGCACATCAAGACAAACGGCATTAACTATGATCCGTTGCCAAGTCACGTACAAGGTGCTAAAACACTTGTGTTGATAATGACAGGCGGAGGAATAAATCTCTTTATGTCTTTTCCATATAGCTTTTGATAGAAAGGGCTTTCATATAACCATAAGGAGACAGAGGTTTAAATACTGTAAGGTGTATTTAAAGCTCTATGACAGCATAATGTGACAACTCTAGTATTTAATTAGATGTCTTTGTGCGATCAAATTTCTATAGACAGAGGCGTTTGATGGATAAAAGCTTCTGTTACTTCTTGTTTACACAACGAAAACAGAGGTTCTCACGGCATTTTATTGATTGCCAATACATCTTGAACAATTAACATACTGCAGCATTGGCTTTCAGCATCAGTCAAAAGCAGCGAGGCGTAGCATAATGAAAGAGTTCAAAACAACTTAATCAGTGTTAAATGGAATCTACAAGAAATGATGTTTAGCCAAAACAATACACAAAACGTGGCCATTCAATTCTTATCTCATTCCTCTTGCTTCATGCATATCAAATGGAATAACACTGGGACCAATGAAGTCATCTTTCTGAATTACTCTGTGCATATAAATAGCTACTTAGCATGCTTCATTTTGGCTATTTCTTTGATCTACCCGGGCATAACAAACAAAGACAGTGTTGCTTTTAACACCACTGTTCTCTGGCCTTGTGTTGAACTCCCATAGTAAGAAGTCTGCATTGTTAACGCTGTGTCTCTCTCTCTTTGTCTTCTTGTAGGATGATTCCTATGACTAACAGAGCCTTTGTAGTCACAAATCTTGTCCCAGGGATGCAGTATGACCTGTGCGTCTTGGCCATCTGGGATGACACTGCCACCACCCTCACTGCCACCAACATTGTCGGCTGCGTCCAGTTCATCACCACGGAGGACTACCCGCAGTGCCAGTCTCTTCACAGTGGATTCCTGGGGGGCACCATGATCCTGGTGATTGGCGGCATCATTGTGGCCACGCTGCTGGTGTTCATCATCATCCTCATGGTGCGCTATAAGGTGACCAGTGGTATCCAGGCTAATAAATTACCGACTGTTAGCAACACGTACTCGCAGACCAATGGGGGATTGAACAGGTTCAACGGCGCCCCGCCACAGGTCAAGTCTACGGTGGTGGTCATGCGTGAGGAAATGGTAGAGTTCAAGTGTGGCTCCCTCCAGAGCAGCCTCTCCTCATCCTCCTCCTCTTCTAACTCATTAGACAGCCAAACAGGAAGAGGGGCTGGCGACCGCTACAGCATGCAGGGCAGTGAATGCAGCACCCTTCCCAGCAGCAAATTCAGGAGGCACGGGCACGGCGCCAAAGCACGGCCAAACCTGGACCACCTTTTAGGGGCCTTCACCTCGCTGGAGCTGCGAGGGGTAGCGAGGGACCACCAAGGGACTTCTGGCCCCTCCACCGCTTCCAACGCCATGATGACAGTGGCTATGGCTCCCCCTTCTGATAAAGAACCCCTGCTGGGAAGGGCCGAGTCCACCACCATGCTGGGACGTCTCCTAGGGCTGCCCCAGGAGGGTAAGCCCAAGAGAAGCCACTCCTTTGACATGGGTCACGTGGGGGCCGCACAGTGCCGCAGCAACTACCCTCGAAGGATCAGTAACATCTGGACTAAGCGCAGTCTGTCTGTGAACGGCATGCTGCTGCAGTATGATGACAGTGAGGACGAGAAGCCCACTTTTGAGAGCTCGGAGTGGGTGATGGAGAGCACAGTTTGAGTGCAGCCGGTCTGACTGTGAGGTCCATGGCCAAACTATAAATCTATACTAGGAACTACAGGAAGATGAGTGCAGGGGGAGGGACGCTCCAGCGGTAATCCACCTTTGGGTATTGCATGAAGTTCATCCATGTGAATACTGTCCAAGTAATTATGTGCAAAAAGACACTTGAATCGATAGATTCCTGGCCATGACCTCAACTCTCTGACAGTCTCTAACTGTATTTGAAAAAAAAAAAAAACTGTTCCCATTTGAAACAGCACAGCGTCTAGGATTGTGCCGATATATGGCCCAAATGGAATAATTCCCGATCCACAGGGTATGTGAGAGTATCTCCAAGGAAAAAGGAGGGGAAAGCAAGATGAGAAATTCAAAGTGGATTTGCTACGTCTGTATCAAAAGAACACCAAGAGGATTTGCCTCGACTGTGGTGAACTGAATGCGCATCACAGTGTCGTGGATCCTCAGCATGAAATGGGACTACTGCAACAGTAGGACCAGAGGAGCGAATAGAAAAATTAAAACAAAGTCATTTTTATTTTCATCTTGTTTTTTCTATCATTTTTACTATTTATTATTATTTGAAGTGAATCATCAGCAGACAGAGCTCTGTAATGAGGTTGTAGTTGTCAGCGATTGAACACACATACACACACATGCAAAGGCTACAGTGTCCCTTCACACACACACACACACACACACACACACACACACAGCAGTTTCCCATCTTTAAACAGCACTCTGAGTCAAATTTCAATCAGCCACAAACGGACAACATGACATATTTTCAAATAGCAAATCCTGTTCTCTAGAACCATTCTTCCCGTTCATTCTCTGAACCACAACAAGCCAGTCTTGTATTTCTACCTCAGGTTATGTATCGTATGAGGTTATTATTCTATGACAGTGAATGGAAATACAACAAAAATCCAAATGTACCAGATGGGTCACAAACACAAAAACACAAAGTTCTTTAATTGTCTGCAAAAGCTTCAAAGAATGATTTCGTCTCCAGCCAATCAGATTCAGTAATGTTTCCAGCTCAGGTTGAAATCCTGTCTCTCTGAACGCTTTGATACCCCCCCCCCCCCCCACTGGGTAGCACTGGCGACAGCGGTCCCTGTAGGCGAAGAGGCCATTGATGTAAACAGAGTGTTCTCTCAGGGTTTGGTTTCAGATGCTATCAGCACATATTACAGTAGCCAGACATGAATGGTCTTTGAAATCCATCAGGCCCCCTTTTAATCGTTCGCTGAAACGCACAGCGGGACGTATTATTCAGCTAATTCTCTTTAGGCAACACAAACAAGAGAGTACGACAATTACTCATTTAGCCAGGTTAAATAGCAGAGTCCAAATTGATGTTTATTAGCCTGATAAAGGTCATTATGCTGCTTCAGGGAGGACATTAAGTGGAGAAAAAGGGGGAGGAAGATAACTTATTAAGGGCCAAACAGCTGAAAACTCGATTTGGTAATACATACATAACCGTGGTTGGTTTATGTATCGTTTGAATTGATTCATCAGCACAATCATTTATCTTTCATCCTCTGTCATACCGGGCTGTAAAATACTATAAAGTAGTGGCTGTTGAGATTAGTAATCAACCAAGACGTCCGCACACATTTTGATGCCTTTCTTAATACCCTGTTGGTCTCTGCTGCATTTGAAGATGTGGGGTGTTCATCATGTTTTGTTTTGGTTTTTTTTATTATTATTATTATTATTGTTTTCTTCCCTAGGTGTACTGTTATGTATATTGGCATTTTTTTTGTACAATAACTGGGTGAGAATGTAAAAGCGGGAAAAATCGTACAGTAGTACTTTTATTTTCATGTGAAGCAAACCGTGAGAAGGTGCTTTTCTGTGGTGTACCAACTTGGCCATTGTTAGTTGGCTCACTGGGAGGGTATTTTACATGTTACAGCAGGTAGAAGGAAGAGGATGACTTGCTGTTTTTAAAGGGTCAGTTCACCCAAATTGAAAAAAAAAAAAAAGCTGATTGTCCTTCTTACCTCTAGTTGTACCCACCATGTAGATGATCTTGGTTTTCTTTGCTCTGGTTTTAAGATGTGCATCTATGAGATTTTTACCTTTTCCTTCAATATAGAGGGGAGAGGGTGTCCAATATCATAATCCATCCATCCATCCATACATACATTATCTATACTGCTTATCCTTGTAAGGTTGCGGGGGTGGGGTGGGGGGCTAAAGCCAATCCCAGCTCACATTAGGCAAGGGCGGGGTACACCCTGGACAGGTTGCCAGTTTTTCACTGGGCCGACATACAGAGACAAACAATCATACATGCTCACATTCACACCTATGGGCACTTTAGAGTCTCCAATTAACCGCAATATGAAAATACGATATGACAATATTTTGTCATAATGTTTATATCATAGTAGCTGTCCCTTTAATATATCTGGCTGTATTAGGTCCTGGGCAATTTTGCAAATCACCAAGGCAATATTGGATATTCATATGATGTCTGCATTAATGCAGGTAAACACATTAAAAGATAAGGATGGCAATATTATATTCATATTATATATTTTTCGAATTGTCAACAAATCCTATGTAAAGACCAATGATTTGGTCCCAGTACCAAATACTGTGTGTATCCAGTCAAAACTCTCCACAACTTTGGGTAATGGGATATTTTTCACTGCATCCATCCGCCTCCATTATGCTGGGGTGGAGGCGACAATCTCAAAGACAGATACCTCAAAACCTGACCAAATGAAACGAAGACGATCGTGATGTTAGATTCCACCAGAGGTAAATGAAAAAGATCTGTTATTTTTTTGTAATTTGGGTGAACGGACCCTTTAACCTGTTGTCTCTGCTCGTGGCATCATGTAAAGATCCTCTCTAGTCTGCTAACTGAGAATGCCATTTAAGTGTGTACTTGACTCGACATAGTCATGATTCTCACCTGAGGTTCTAGGAGAAAACAAACAAAAAAAAAAAAACTGTTTCTGTGTGAAAAGATTTTGCTACAAAAGAATATAAAATATTGATTAATTCCTATGAACCAAACTGGCTCTTCTGTGTTTTCTCTTCCTGCGACATCTCACAAACACACAAATGATCTCATGTGCTTTGGATTTCATTACTGATTACGTCTATCCGAGCTGAGACTGCTGCTTTAGAGTGTCCTTGCTCCCTTATTGTCTTTGTTTACCGCGGATGAGCCAAGGGTTTTCCTCCTGAGGTCCAGCTGCTGTAATCAGGCCAGTTGCTGCTGACTCACCTCAGCACTGCCCTTGTTACAAATCATCGGTACATGCAGCTCCTGGCCAGAGCCCATAATAACGTCTTAATTCATATAATCTGTTAGGCAAGGTGCTTACGGCAGCACAGAGTAAATATAATCTGCACAAGGGCCAAGCGTTACATGATAAGACAGCGATACGCACCTGCTGTCGGCTCAGGAGGAACATGACCGCTGGATGCTGAATGTAGGAGGGTTGTTATTATTGGGCTTTGTGCTGTTATGATAAAGAACATATTCAAATCATTCAAAAGACAAAATAAAGGTGTGTATTGAGAAGTGATCCGACAGCAACATCAAAAACAAACAAAAAAAAAAAACAACTTTCTCAGCAGTGGCTGAATTATCCTCTTAGATTTGTGTGTGTGAGCAGGTGAGAATATCAGTTTAAACCAAATGTGTATTTACTAAGCCGGTCCCCAATTACCACCAAGGTCACAGAATTTCGTTTCAGTTTAGCGAGTTACTTACCAAGACTAAAGATGAACATGAGCCCAGCTGCAGGTTGCCTGACTAAAGTGCTGCTAAATAAGACCTGATGCTGGGCTTGTGTACGTCTTTAGAGCGATGGAGCACAAAAGGAAAAGTGTTTTCTGCTGCTGAACCTAGAGGACTGGTTGAAGAGGAAATGTTAGATAAAGAGTCTGATGTTGTAAGCCTCACAAAAAGATCAGTGGTTTAATGACGCATGAAAAAAAATCAGTGAGGGAAATTTATGGATAAACCTTTTAAACTCTTCTGGTTTGTTCAGTGTTTTTGAAACAAAAAGGCAAAGTGGTGCTGAGTGGAGAGCCGCGGTGGAACAGCTTCATTTTAGTTAGGCATCTTTTCATTTTTCTCTCTCTCAATTATAAACTTTATCCGACTTTAGTCTCTCTTTCCATTTGCGTCTGATAAAACAGTGCAGCGGATTTTTACACCTGCTTTTCTCTGACATTAAATTTGGGAGTCAGTTTCCTGTGCTGGAGGGGTCAGTCTGATGATAAACCAGGTGCAGCAGCAGCTATTTGCATACATTTCCTCCACCAAGATGCTCTGGCTCCGAACAGGAACGTCTAGAAATACATGAGACTGAACACGATATAACATTTTACCTGCACAAACATTGGTGCTGTCCTTTAATAAATAAGGACAAGTGCAATTTAACTGTTGTGTCCACAGCCATATCAGTGACTCTGTTATGTTAAGCTGTACAGTGGTGCATTTGGCTAAATGCTGATGTTTAGCTGGTATAAAGTTTAGAATGTCCACCATCTTAGTATAATGAAGCAAGCTAACATTTACTAATCAGCTCTAAAGAGAGAGTACAACGGAGGTTGTCTTGTAGAAAAAGTGGCTGGAAGTATGTGAACACTTTTTGAATGACCTGGTTTGAGACGTGATCTGACAAACACAATGTGCCTTTTTCATGTCTTTATTGAACATAGCTATTAACCCTTGTGTGATGTTCATATTTTTGTTACTCAGCCAGTGTTGGCGGGTCTGGTGGACCCGCTGCATTTGTTGGGGTTTAATTCAACACAATCAAACAATTTTCTGTTAAAATACTTAACAGATGTTTACTTCATCCCAATTACAAGCAATATACAGTAAACAGCATATACTTGTATGGTTAATATAAAATGTGTAGGGGGGTGTACAATGTGTGGTCATTGAAAATGTGTTCTGATAAATATTCTTCACAGAAAATGAGCCAAGGCCAATGAGTCTGGGTTTGAAAAAA